CCAGCTGGGACAGACACACATCAGCCTGGGGTCTGCTCTTTGTAACTCACAGCACTGTACATGGGCTGTGCCAGCCCAGGGGGGACACACATCACCTTTATAACTCACAGCACTGGCTGCCCAACAGTGTTCATTCCAACAGCTTAGAATATTCTGAAAGTCATTTCTGTATGTGGAAGGAAGTTGGAATCCCATTAAAATGTATAAGCTTCTTAAAAGTAAAAGCTGGTCGAAACATGTTTTATATTTAAGCTAGTTATTAAACAAAAGTGAAGGTTTTGGTTTTTTTCCCCTGTAACTAGTGAAAGATTTGAATAGTTCTGGTTACTATATCCTTTAAAGTTGAGGCTTGGGAAAATTTAATCTTCTTTTTGATTATTTAAATTGGAGGAAAAGAAATAATACCATACCTTCCTTTTAGGTTCCTAATTGGCTTCTAAAATTTAAGTAGTTAGACAATGGACAGAGAGTTTTAAATACATCAAAATGAAGGAAGTATTTGCTCTGTTCCCACAAAGGATTACTGTGATTAAAAACTGGCTTAGCAAACTGGGAAAGTCTTTTTTAAGGTATTTGGGCAAATGGTTCCACAAAAGCACTTACTTGACTTTATTTCAAACTTCACAAATATTTATATTTAATGTGAACTTTCAAAATAGTTTATGTAAATGTGGGCTGTGACGTTTTAATTCAAATGTAATTACACAAACAAAATGTATTGAAAGTAAATAAACTTTAATTCTTTACATCTTTTTAGCTGAAATGTGCAAATACAAATTTGTTGTGAAATATATTATGAAAGACTTCCTAAAACACTTCAGAATGAAACAAAAGAAGGACAGAAAATATTTATTTTTGAATAAGCATATGCTAAGGGGTAATAAAATATCCATGAGTATTTATTTTTGTTGTAGGCTATAGTATCCCATGTAAACTACCTTCCAGTGACCAATAATGGTATTACTAATAGTTGTCTATAGTTAATTAATCCAGACAAATCTAAAAGCCACAGTCCACTGTGTGGCCTGACTTCTGTAAAGCAACACCGCTTTTTTCCTAATAAAACTTGGAAAATACACTCCTTTGGCAGCAGTGACATTCTCCAGTGCAATCCAGCCTGTTCCCTGGGAGTGTTGTGTGCCTGCTGTGCCCGTGTCATCCCAGAGGTGGTCCAGCCCTGTGGAGATGGGGTCAGGAGCACTGACCCCCCTGGGAGGTGGGCAGTGATTCCAGAGGTGGTCCAGCCCTGTGGAGATGGGGTCAGGAGCACTGACCCCCCTGGGAGGTGGGCAGGGATTCCAGAGGTGGTCCAGCCCTGTGGAGATGGGGTCAGGAGCACTGACCCCCCTGGGAGGTGGGCAGGGATTCCCTGGGAGTGTTGTGTGCCTGCTGTGCCCGTGTCATCCCAGAGGTTGTCCAGCTCCAGGGATCAGGAGCACTGACCCCCCTGGGAGGTGGGCAGGGATTCCCTGGGCCTGCCCAGCCTGGGTCTGAACACAGGAGTGCTCCAGCACTGGTGGCCAGAGAAAGGAGGGCTGAGGAATGCCTGGACCTCACTGCACATGTGAAACCCAGGCCTACATTTTTATGGGTTTATATATGCTTCATTTAGTTGTTCTTTGACATTGTTTTTTTTACCAAAAGTGACTATATATTTGTACCTTTATGTCTGTACACTGCTGTGTGATTTTACATGGAATTGTAATACTCAGAACTGGACAGACTAGGTCTTCCTGTCTAGTATAGGATGCATCTGGGCATGGAGGAGAATAAAGGAAGACATAAGAATGATATCAAGTCCTTAGTCAATCTAATTGCATGCAGAGATATTAAGTGACCAGGATAAGAATGAAAAAATAGGTTTGTGCATTCCAAAGTTATTTTAGAAGTTTTGCTTCTTGGGCTAATTTTAATGGAACTGAATGAACGACTTTGGAAATCTTGAACCTTAATTTTTGACTAGATCTTGGGTTTGTCAAACACTTGAACTTGAGCCAGGCTACTTTTCTATCTAAAGGCATTTTTGCTGAGTTGTCTCATCAGCAATGGTCTTCTGACTGTTGCTGCCTATGTCCCTTTTAGAAGGATCAGTTGAAAGTGCAGCTGAAGTTCAATAGTACTTAACACTTAATTCCTTGAAGATTCCTTTTGTTGCTGATATAAATTCAATTGCCCAGCTTTATGAAACCAACTTTAGGTTTGATCTACTAATACATTGGCAAGTTGTGTGGGCCTCTGGAAGGATGTGTGTGGAGTGGAAGAGTTGACCCTGAGGGTCTGACACGTGCACTGCACCTCTGGTGAGGTCTGCACTGAATGCTGGGTGTGCTTGGATTGCAGTGGGGAGTGCAGCAGGTTTGCTCTTGCAGCTCCTCTTAATTTAGCCTGGTCCAGAAGGGAACCTCCCTTTAGCTCTGGTGCTAAACAATGGAACCAAAAAGCAGTAAGTGGCCATAATTTGGAGAATTGCTTCAAAAGTGTACAGGCAGTCCAAATTCAAATACTCATCACGCACCCATAGTTTTTAGTGAATTTGTGGGGGGAAAAAGCTAATGACTGTATTTGAAAATCCTTCTATAATACAAAAATGTAAAAGTCTTTATGGTGAAGTTTCTCTGGGTGGTGGAAGAGAATTTTATCCTCAGTGGAATCTTTAAGAAGACTTAGGGCATTGTGCTTAGTGGATGAATGAAGAAAGGAGGTGAGAATTAAGCTATTCAAGAAACTTAATCTGATGAAAATGAGCCACTTTGATCTGCTCACATATTCTACATGTGATACAGGACACCGAATACTGTAGTTTCCTTATTGCCTTTTATGTAATTGTAGGGTGAAAAGGACATTAATGAATTTTTAAAGAAACATGGTAGTAATATTTCTGCATTTGAGAGTCCTTCATGTAGTAAAGCAGCAGTTAAACTTAATCTTGTTGCTATTTTGGGAAGGAATGGAGTGGCTTTCTCCTTTTCAGTCAAAAGGCTTTGAGCTGTAAAAAGGGGGCGAGGGGGAAGCTATTTCTAGTTTCTGAATGATGGGAGTAAAAGTTGTAAGTAAAAGAAATATGAGTGTATCTTTGAATATCACCTTGCTTACTATTTTTCTTGAGAGGTGAAATCTTACCAAGGGATTATATAAAAAAGAAGTGATAAAATGTCCTCCTTTTACTTCAAAATTGTCTTCATTGTCATATAGTCTCAATGCTGGGGCTAAGAAACTGATTTTTTTAAGCTTTTTTGTTGAAGTAATTTGAATAATACAGCAACAGGTACCTTAAAATCTCTGCAAATGCTCTTCAGATGGTTGCTGATCATGTCAAATGACTTCCCTTTTCAAAGATTCCTGTCAGTGTCACACTTGCCTTCTGATTTACCTCCTTGTGCAAACCATCACAACCTTTACTGTTCAGCCTTAGGCATGAAGCAGTTACTCTGTAGCACAAACACAAATCAGTAAAAGCAGACAGCTCACCTTCCACTGTCACTGAACAACTTTGTTTTTCATTTGAGACTGCTGTTGTGGTTTTTGTTTGTGAAGGGACAGGAGAGACCCCCGAGTGCCGTGCCTCTCTACCTGCTGCTGTGCTCGGGCAGGGCTGCACTGAGGTCATACCAGAGGGGACACTTGGCAGCTTCCTTCTTTTACTTGGAAGAGCTGAGGGTGCTTAAAGCAAACAGCTGGTTGTCCTGCATAGCTGGTGGTTGTCTTTGTGGAGCAGTACAGCTTTGTCACTAAGCTGGGGATAAAGAGATGATTGCAGTTGCATCTTCAGATATCTTCTCATGAGTCAGGGTTGATCAATCCAATTTACCTTGGTGGTCTCATATTCCAGAGCAGACCTGCTCCCTCCATGAACTG